CCGACATGGCTCAGGAGGCAGCAAATAGTTTTTCCACTGTAGAACCTGAGCTGTTACCTCCGATTAGCACGGTTGGCTAGGTACGGTGTGAAAAAAGTTCAACGTACATACTTCACCCACAACGAACTAGTAAAGATGCATGTAGATTATGCAGTGATGCAGTGTCCTCACAGTGTACTGACTGACATCACACTCAATGAACGCATCATTAGCCCCCCAGCCCAATTCAGTCTTGAGAGGTGAGCGCATCACGGTTTAGTTCTGGCTCAGTATGGCAAACCGCCAGTGGAAAAGTACCCATTTCCTCTTCTTTGGTTCTTTCGGTAAAGTCACGTAGAATGAGAATAAAATAATAAATTGATAAAATAAAATAATGGTGAGAATATTATTGTTATTTTATTTTATCAATTTATTATTTTATTCTCATTCTACGTGACTTTACCGAAAGAACCAAAGAAGATGAATCCTTGCAGTCACGAAAGCTTTAAATCGAAATTTACCCATTTCCTGTTGGTCCCGTGCTGGCTCACCTGATGTTCTGGTGGAAAAAGGGGGTATTGATATCTCAAGTCGTGAGTTTTGCTGACTTCGTGACGCATCCTTCCTCAGTGTTTTTTTTCTCCTATCAGCACGGACTGCTGCAGGCCACAGCATCCGCCTGGCAAACACCCATCGCTCATGGGCAGCAGCCAATCCCGTACACCGCCAACCACGCGCGTGCTGACGGTATCGGTAAAAAAAACACCACGTCTGTTTGTCGAGTTTCGGAAAGGAACATTTAAGACGGGCGTTCGCAGCTGCCTGTGATGCATAGAGCATGGGCAGTGGCAGAGAGCTTCCAAGAAAAAAAAGACGTTTTGTACGTATCTATGCATGTTGAACTTATTTCGCATCGTACCTAGCCAACCGTGCTAATCAGAGGTGCGGGGGAAGGACAACAAGCTAAACACAAAAGCAGTTCTAAAGAAGATAAGTTTTAATATAGATTCAAAAGTGCATAGCTCCAGTGGCTTCTTAATATCGGAAGGAAGAGTGTTACAGATGGCCGCAGAAGCGCATCTGAAAGTGCGCGATGCGGTGAGCGTCTTTGTTCGATGGCTAGCCAAAAGCCACTGCGAGGATGACCGGAGTTTGCGTGGATGATTTATGCTCCTTGACGAGATCAGCGAGGTATTGTACTTCACTTGTGGCAAGCACTTTGTGTGTAAAGAGTGCGAGCTTAGATCGTTTTATTCGCAACCGTGGTGCCATGCAGACGGCGAAAGAGTTGTGGTGTGTCTGGTTCTTTTTGGGCAGTGCAGGCCACAGAAGAGGGAACAGAGACGGAGCGATGAAATAAGCTCACGCGCGGAAGTCAGATGGTGGTGGTTTTACAGGACCGCGGGGGAGGGCGACGGCGTAGAGAGTCCTTCATCCAACGGTGGATAGACCATGGCCAAAGATGATTATTTAAAATAACTTAAAAAATAAATACATAGCGTTGATTGTAATGGGAAAAACAACACACACACATAGGCTTTCAAGAGCCGTATAACTAGACTCGAGAGCGTTATGGGACGACGAGGTGCTGTTTCTATTTCTTTAATTCACTGGAGGCCAAAAAGGCAGAGCCGAGCAGCGTTCAAAGAGCATGCGCTCTCTGCTCATCCAAGACTCGGGGAGAAATTACTTCCCGCGGGCTCTTGGCCGCCCACGTCATCGCAGTCATCAATAATCCAACGCTCGAGCGCGCGTTTATTTTGGACGACTGGCAAGAAAGTGTGGCGTTAACGGGGCAGCTCATGCATCCCGCCTCGGAACGTTTATCCCGCGTTGCTTCTAACTCTCTGCCTCGGTTTGAGTTGTGCAGGTGGTGCAGACTAAAGCTTAGGAAGCTAAAATATACCTTCATGTTTTTTGCTCGACAGGTCTGAGGGCCCAAGGATATATATATAATTACAACAACATGCGAGCCCAGCATACCATATTGAAAAGTTCCCAGAACACGGTACAGAACAAAAGCGTAGACATTCTATTTCGGCACGGTGGACAAAGAGGGATATGAAGATATATATGGGGAGGGGAGACAGGGAGGGGCAGGAGAAGAATAAACCAGCACGCTAAGGACAAGTCTGGGAGATAGGGGGGAAGAGGGGAATGGCAGGGGAAGAGGACCCAAGGATATTAAACGTCTCCGAGGTTGTTTCTGATGGCTTATGGGTGAATATACAGCTCTTAAATATGCCAGTGGTGAAGGTTCTATACATATTTTTCTTTTTTAATAATTTAGCAATATTTCCAACTAAGGTTGAAAGCAATTTTTGTATTATCTCTGACTGTCCGTTCGTCTATAATTGGTGTGTGGGGAGGCGGGGAGGGAACGATTATTGTAATCCTCGTGAAGATGATCAAGTTAAAGAGAACCTTAGCATACAGTTTTGTTACTGTTTTTTTAATATCTTATGAAAGTGGCTTCCGCGAAAATTAGCATTTGGAAATAGTACTGTACTGTATAAATGTTCATTATTATGATTATTGTCATGATCACCAGCAGCCATGATCTATCCACTACTGGGTGAAAGTATCCCCAAGCTGTCGCCATCTCTCACGGTTTTGCGATGCAAAAATGCATCCAGCTCCTGCACACAATCTAATTTCATTGGTCCATCTTTACAAAGCACTTCCCCTCTCAGCCATGCTCCCTCGTTTTGGCTGCCAGTCCATCATTAATCTCGACCACTGGCCCATCATTCTTCCCTTCTAGTGACCCTGCGTCCTGCCCAAGCCCACTCAACTTTTTTCAAAAGACAACCTAAATTTAATGTGAAACTGGAGGAATGGGAATTTGTGGAAGCAGGACACAAGGTAGGGATCTAGGAGTGAGTTGACTCAGCATTTTCGTTGTCCAGACAAAACCAGAGACGCAATAAAGAAATGCAATAAATTACTTGGGGTATGGAGGGACAAGTGTCGAATGTAAATCCAGGGATGTAATGCTGAGGCTGCGCAATGCACTCTTACGACTCCACATAAAGCATTGCATTCAGTTGTGGGCACCACGGGGTACAACATAGACAATGCTGCTTGCCTGTAGGCAGTTCCAACAAGGAGCAACTCGAGCGATTTAAGGACTCAAAAGACATAGTCGCTGATTGGTTCGAGATACTGTATCTCTTTAGCCTTAAACTGAGAAAAAAATCCATGGAGATTTAATACAGGTCTATGGAATCGTAAATAATATCGACCGAGTCGATGCGGACGACTCCCGACTGCGTCAAGCTCGACACAGAGGAGACAGGAAACAAGTCACCACGGGGTGGAAGCCTCGTGTGGGGAAAGTTCACGACTGAGGCCGGGAGGAGGCAGTAATTGTGTTTAATGTGCAGAGGGCGGTGGTGCGAGTGTGGTAGCAGCTGCCACACGTAAGTATGTTGAAATTCTTTAGCACCATACGTAGCCAACCGTGCTAATCGGAAGTGCAAACTCTCACCCGGACTCTGTAAGAAGCGCCTCGGTGAGCTCCTTTACTCGGTCAGCGACATGCAGCCAAGCGAGTTGGATTACGCAATGGGCCTCCTCTCGTTTCTGAGCCCTTCTTTGGTTGTTTTCATGTCTTAAACCTGGCATACAATTCCACATTCCCATGACACGGGCCAGTTTACCCACAGTAACAATCACTAGTAACTTCTCACAAAGCAGAAACTTATTGTATTGACCCCGGATAGATGATGATGAACTGATTGGCCGACTAGTCGACCGCCACAACCGGGATTTGACCTGGGCACCAGGGTGGCTAGATGTTAACTACCTCGCCTGGTATATAGGAGGTCGTGGTTATGATCCCGACCATAACGCCTGTTGTATATTTGGAGTTTGCATGTTCTCTCTCTCCTCATGGTCGCGTGGATTTTTTTCCGGATCCTCCGGTTTTTCCTTCTGCATTCAGAATCACCATACATTTAGAGTATTTGGCTGCTCTAAATTTCCACATGAGAAGCGACTTTATTGAGCGATCATTTGTGGCTAGACTGCTTCTGAAAAAGAGCTATACAGCTCAGTGGGCCTTACCTGGTAAAATACAAAATATATAGTATTCTTACTTGACTCCGGCGACCACAGAGCCAGGCGTGGTGACGCTGATGCCGTGCATGCAAATATAATCTCTGGCACTCGCGCGGACTTCTCCATGGAGTGGGGGGAGAAAACTTCACGTAAAAGTGAGCCAATCATCGATCGGCGAGCCGAAGGGCCAGGGAAATGAGAGACGGAAAACGCCCAAGGCTGTTAAATTATGCACGGTCACGGCGTGGGGAGCTGTCAGGCAGGCCCGATCCCGAGGTGCTCCTCGCTGACGTGTTGATTTGAAATGAAAAATGTCCTCACTTTTAGACTTTAATTAAAATGTTTTATACGTGCGATGCACGTATATTTATTAATTTATATTGGAGAGACGGCTGAAGAGTAAGTGCCCTGACGGAAGGGGTGGCGATGCTCTCACAGGGGTCTGATGTGATAAGTGTGGCTTTGCGTGCACGATAAATAGGCAATTCCCACAGCCGCCCTCGTTCATAACGCGCATACAAGTCCACTCCAACTGGCATTATCCTTACGTAATACTTCATTTTTTTTTAAATATAAAAGCCGCGCTGCATTTGAAAGAGAGCTGGCTAAATAATCTCAACACGTCCGCCAATACGTAATAACACCTTATGTGTTGCCTTTAAAAGAAATGATATACAATAATAGGTAACGTTTCATGCAATGGTTCTGCTTCACATCATATAGGTCAGAGAGGTGGAGTCTCGGCTCTCTATGTGCTGTGAAAAAGGGCCATTGCCTGAAACGTTACCTATTATATACTTTGTCTTTTTAAGGCGACAGTGTGTTGTTTTTTTATTTGTGCTTTTGCACCACTGCCAACTGAGTGTCGCCAAATTTATTTGTAAATCGACTTCTGTGGCTGTGATGACCTTTTGCTAAGCTGGACTATGTTTCCACGTGTATTTGTGTTTCTTTTCCAGTCTGGCTGCCTCTACTCACACTGGGCTTCTGCGGATTTGCACACAAGCTTTCAGGTAATGCACCGGCATCCACTCAATTTCAGAGCCAGGACATCATTATATATCCACTGCTGGTGCTTAATTTCTCACTCGATATTTTCCAGAACGCTGCCTGGCTGGCGTGGTGTAGGATTATCGGCGTAAGGCACTACCACTAAATTACAGGGTGGAAAGCCGATCTGTAATAACCCTACATTAGTGTACCATATGTTCCTATAGTCCTATAAACAGCTTTTAAAATCCAAATATACATTTAATAATAATACCAAAATAATAATTGGAATGGAGTGCTGGCATTACGCCGTGGGTAATGCCCAGGCATGTGTCTTAACGTGTGGCTTCTCGCCAAGGGTAGTCTTATTCGGCACTCGAGAGGTTCAGAAAAGAAGTATTCCCTCCTCTTGCCCCCGCCAAAGCGCAAAGCCAATTTCAGTTGCAGCTTAAAATCGCTTTGTCAAATGGATGAGGGTTAGGTCCGGAAACGTGCGGTGGTCCGGGGGTTTAATTTTAGTTCATGGCTTTGTCCGTGTACGGCAATGCCAACGACGATAAGGAATATTGGCCGCTGATGAAGTCGATAGTTTTTAACAACAAAACCACCGTTGCAGCAGAAACTACAGGAAGTGCACGAAGCAGGGCGGGAAACATTCACGTGCCGTGCCGAGAATCGCTTCGTTGGTGGAGAGGGGCAACGCAGGCATGGGTTGGAGAGCGGACGAGTGGCAGGCACAACGGTGGCAAAAGTGTCAGGGGCCCTGGGGATAAAGACTGCTCCAGCTTCTACCAACACTATCTTACGATCGCTACAACGCCAAAGACGTTTGGGAAACAAAAGAATACGTAAATATATGTTCGTGAATGTATGTACTGTATGCTTAACTTCTTTCGCACCCTACGTAGCCAACCGTGATAATCGGAGATGTGGGATAAATACAACAAACTTATCACAAATTGGTGATATTGTTCGAAATAATTTGTTTTGGATTTTCTTTATCACGAAAACTACGACGCAAGTGAAGTGAGTGGTGTTGAGCAATTGTGTCTTCGCGCTGTGCAGCCCCGATGGGCCGACTACGGGCGCCCCCGTTCATGCGCTCGTGGCGCTCGTTCTGCAACAGCGACCGTGGAGCTCGCTACGAGACGCGTCTCAGTAAACACGCGAGAAAGAGACAACGCACCGGACGGCCCTCAACGAGAAATTGTGGGTTTGGCAATGTTTTACAATTTGGAAAGTCTCGGAGATATTAATAAATAAAACAATATCTAAAGCAAGGTGGATTACCCCATGCAGAGGACAGTGATTCATTGTTGTGCTGTACCTCTGTGCTCCCACATCTACATTCTTTCACCAACCCACATTAACCAGCATGGTGAAGTATGGTCAAATGACACCCACAACCCCTACTGCGTGGGGAGACTTTCAATCTAGCAGTGGATCGACACGTGGCTATACACGCATGCGTAGAGGCGTGCAGTTACATTGGCAAGAGACCGTCACGTAGAAGTGCATAGAGAAGTACGATGAGGAACGAGGCAGCCCATTGGCTGCTCAGGCGTTGCCATTTCCCCTACCCTCGATAACTTTGTGAACCATAAAATAACGTTAATCTCAAATCTTTAAAACCGACACTATTAGTCTCAGCTGTTAACCAGGCTGCACAAACCGGAATGTTAACACTGGACAGCCCACAGACACACAACCAGTGCAACGAACCATCCCGTGGACTTCATATCCGTTTCAAATGCAAGAATTCACGGCGCGAATCATATCCATAATTATGCTGTACATTTTAAAATCCGGCGGCATAATTGCTTTGCGGATATCAATCAGAGAGATGGTGGAAGTTTAAACAATGGGAATAAATGCCCACTCAATCCGTACTCTTGGCCCTGTAACCCCACTCTGTAATCAGGCGTCGGTAGCCTCAGACGCAGTTTTATAAACAGAAGTCGGCAAGGTTATGCTTGAATTTGCTTTAATTTGCTCTGTCGTGCCCCCCGGGGGGGGGAAGGGGTGGTAACGCCGGGCTCCGAACGCGTCGGACGGGAACGTTTCGTTGGATGGCGTGGCAGCTTTGAGAATGAAGCGGAGGTCCTGACGCTGTCAGCGGGGAGGAGGAGCCGCCCTTTTAAATTTGGGGCCCCGACTGCCGCTGGGGCTGCCGCTGCTGCCGCTGCTGCTGCCGCTCGCACCGACATCCGCGTGCTGCCAGGGGGCGCACGTGCAGTCTTCGGATTGGCTGGGCGGCCGTGGTGGTGGTGACGGCTGAGCGGTTGTAGGCGGTCGAGCGGGATGAGCGATTGTGTGATTGTGTCTGAAAATGAGTGCATTTATGAAGGTAGGTTAGATATATATTTTGGTGTTTATTAGTGTGAGTTAATATCACGTTTTTAGGTCGTCATCAGCAGATCATGCTTTCTCACCTGATGACGGATGCTTGTGTTGCGACCGAAACGTCGTGATTTATTTTATTTGATACCTACGTAACTTTCCCGAAAGAACTAAAGAGTATGGATTCCTGCAGTCACGAAAGCTTAAAATCAAGATCGTCTTTTTATTGTTTAACGTCTTTGAACGTTTTCTTGGCGGTTTGTTTTGGCGAACTTTTTTTCTTTTCGACAGCATGCACGTACTGTATCCTGAATTATTTACATCTATGTATTATTAGTGTATGTGTATTATTTGTGTCTGTATGTGTATTATTAGTGTCTGTGTGTTTGCGTATCTGGGTGCGTGTGTTCTTGTCTGCATGTTTATAAATAGCTTGGGGTGTACTATAGTGTGAGTACTTTAGCGTGGTGTATTGCAGTGTGTGTACTGTACTGTAGAGTGTACTGTGGTTTGTGTACAGTAGCGTGGTGTACAGTAGCGTGGTTTACTGTAGTGTGTGTACTATCGTGGGTGTTTACTGCAGTCTATGGTGCAATTTGGCTTGTAGAGCATAGTGTGTAGTGCACTAAATTGTATACAATGCAACGCAGGTGGTGTGCGTGTGGTTAGAGGCTGTGTGTGGTGCAGGCTGAGTGTAAGCGGTGCAGGCTATGTGTGTGTGTGGGCCGTGTTGGTGTGAGTAGGGATCTGTATGTAGAAAGAGGGGTGGCACGAAGCTTCAGGTCTTCTCGGCCACGGTCATTCCCTCCCTTTTCTACGCTTGCGAAACGTGGACCCCCCCTAATGGAACATCTTTGCCGGTTAGAAACATTTAGACTGGCCTGCCAGCGATCCATCCTGGATTTAACCAGGCTGTATTGGGTGAGGAGCTCACAAAATGCTTGAAAGATCTCAACAAAGTCCCATTGGTAAGCTCCGCCGGCAGGCAAAACTGTGTTGGCTGGGTCATGTTGTTGTTGTGTATGTACAGTAGATAGATCAGTGTGTGTGAGGGGCTGGTAATCCCTCCACATGGCACCTTTTTCTACCAAGCACCACGATGGCAACACCAAATAAGCCTGTGTTAGAGACCAGGGGGACAGGCGTTCATGACGCTTTCTGGCCACATTCTATTTGGCAGATCCAGGAGCAGGAAAACACTGAGATTGGCTACGTCGAATGTTTGGATTCTCGTTGCAGAAAAGAGGCTGCCACTCCTCTGTCAGGAGATGGACCTGTACCACCTGGACCTTTGTGGAATACAGCAGGTTCGGTGGACCTGTTCTGGCTCAGTCATCATGAGGGGTGGACAGTTCTCCACTCGGGGCAGGAAACTACCAACAGCAGGGAGTGGCACTTCTTTTGAAGAAAGAAATGAAGGGGGCGTAGGAGCGTGGTGGTGAGGTGTGGGAAGCTGTAAGTCCCAGACCTCTTTGAGCTCGCCTCCCCATCAACAAGAAGCGAGGAATAGTGGTGGTGGTGGTTGCTTATGGCCCGACCGAAGATGAACATCATTGGAGGGATGCAGACAAGGCCGATAAGTCAGACGCCTTCTGTAACCTCTTGTACCAGGTGCTAGCTAAATTGGCCCCTCGGGATAGAGCCATCCTCTTCGGTGACTGTAATGTCTGAGTGGGTCATGACTCAAGACACCTGGGTTGAAGTGATCGGAAGGCATGGGCCAGATCAGCTCAATAATAACGGAATGAGGCTGCTAGACTTATGTGCAGCCCATGGGCTTGTAATTATGAACATGCTGTTCCAGCATTGGGGCATCCACACAACATCATGGATGCACGCCGGGTCCAAGCAAAAAAATCTGCTGGACTATATAATTACGCACCAGCAGATGCAGACCCATGTCCTTGACACCAGGACCTGCTGTGGAGCTGATCTGCCCACTGACCATGAACTTGTCATCTGTAAGATGTGCCTGCCATTCTTCCACTCCGGTGGTGGTTGTACATCTAGAACCCCATTCAATTCTACAGTGGCCTGGTCTCAGCTAGCTGAGGATAGTTGCAGGAATTTCAACATCGCATACAGCTGGGGTTAGCATCATCTGCCCTCCTTCTGATGCTGAGGGGTAATGGATGAGGTTCAGGGCTGTGGCTCATGCAGTTGCAATGGCTGCATTGAGTATGCGGTCCAGACCTCCCCAGAGACCCTAGCTGCAGGAGGAGGTGTTCCAGCTGGTTGAGAAAAAATGACAGGCCCACTCACGTCATCGACAAAATCCAACTTCTGAAAATGAAGAGGCTTACTGTCGTCTTCGATCAGAGATTCGGAAAGCCGTGCAGCACTGCAAGGATCAGTGGTGTGGGAGCGGGTTGCTGGGGAGAAGGAATCTGCCTCAGTCGCCCGCAAACATAAATCACGATTTAATTCCATCAAAAAAGTAACTTGCAGCACCTCACCTATCACCATCCTTAAGGGAAAGAATGATAATCAAATCTCCGACCCCCAGGAACAGATCTACAGGTTTGCAGAGCATTTTTGTGAGGTCTTGGGGGAGGGGAATTCCCTCAGCCCAGACAAAATCATGGGGTAAAGTGGGTTCATCAGGATTGGAAGGATGCCCTGGTGGTCCCCCTCTTTAAGAGGGGGGACCACAGTTTGTAACAACTATAGGGACATCTCTCGTCTCAGCGTGCTGGGAAAGGTACTGGCTAAAAATTTTCAAAATTACCTTGCTAGGCACGCTGAGGAGAGAGAGGCTTGCAGAGCCCAAATGTGGTTTCAGACCAGGGTGGTTCTGCATGGATGTGACATTCTCCCCTTTTTGCAGCAGAGGTGTAGGGAATTCCAACAAGATCGACATCTCTGCTTTATTGACCTGATCAAGGCCTATAATACCATCAACAGGCCAGAGCTGTGAACAGTTCTTTGTGAATTCAACCATTATCATATTACGTACAATTCTATAATTGCTGTTAAAGCGCCTTGAAATATGGTGCAATATGAATCTATATAAGAAATAAGATAAGACACGATTGGGAGGGAGGGAATTCCAAAGTGGAACAGTGAGAGGAAATAAGCAGATAAAGAAGCGTTGTGACCTGCAAGTGTGGTGGTTGGACGTGGTGTGGATGGGATGAAAAGGTCAGTCAGTTAGATGTTCATAATAAAGGGTTTTTTTGGGTTAGAATACTTAAATATAAATGTGTAGTTAACCTACCACCACCCAACACAGTCAACGACACATTTATATTTACATGATCTAATCCAAAAAAAACATTTAAGAATAATATTAGTCATTAGAGCCGACGTGTCAAACTGGTAGATGCTGTTGCCGCAGTGATGTAGTAGTCAGTACCCTGGACTTGCAATCCTGAGGTCGGCAGTTAAATCCCCCGGCACGGCAGTTGAAACAAGGGGGCAAGATTCTTAAATCCCCCACCCCCAAATGACCCGCCTATGTCCAATCAAAATCATACAGCGGCACATTACAGGCCATTTGATCGGCAGGTCCCGTGCAGTGGGGTATAATGTGGGGGTACTCCCACCTCTTCCAGCGTGAAAGAGTAGTCCAAATACCCTCTAGAGGGGGGCTGTCTAGAGCTTGAAAATAAAATTGCAGGACTGTGCCTTTACCTTTTCAACCAGAAATTAACGGCGTTTGCCAAGTGTGCCACTCGAAGGTGCACCTGCGGTCGGTTCTCAAGGGGGTCGACAGAAGCTCAACAAGGCATACTTGAGATTCTTAGCGGGTGTTCACGATGACCAAGATTGAAAAAGTCAAACTAAGTGTCATCTAGGGAAAGAGGGGTGGCAGGTAGTCGGCAGGGGGGGGGGGGGGGGGGGGAAACATCCTGAGCCAGACGGTGCGC